AGGCGGATGCTACCCCGTGGAAAGGGGGGGGGGGAGTCCCACTCGTCTCTCTCTCTCTCCCAGCCGGGAAGAGGCAGGCTAAACAGACTCCTTTGGGCCAAGCGGCCCCTTCAGTCTGGGGCCCGGGGCTGTGGCATCGGTGGATTTCGCTTCTTGAGCTCAAACGCCAAACTAAGCAAGGCGGAGCGGCCTAATCTGGTGAGCCTCTGGGCTGTTTTCCATCCCTGTTTGGGAGTGTCCTGCTCACTCTTCTTCAGCCAGCTTCGGGGCCTGCCTCTCTTGGTAACGTTTCTGCGGTCCACTAAACCTACTAATGGTACCTTGTCTCCTCTCGGGTGGTTTGGCACAGCCAGGCTGTGGGGCGGGGGCGGGGGGGGGGCTGTACAGGCTAGGCCCACGCTTCCCTCCCCAGATCCTAGGGGGGAGGGGCTGTGTCTGGCGCGGAGAAGGAAGGGGGGGCTGGGGGCTGGGGGTTTCCCCTCCTGCGGTGTCCCCTTCTCACCCCGCCGGCTGTCGCAAGCGCCAGACCTCACCTGGGACATTGCCTGCAGCCGTGTGCCCCTGTCTGCGGGGCGGAGGCGGTAGGGGCTGCAACTGCCTGGCTCTCGTCATTCTCTAGCCTGTCCTCCCTAACACCGCTAACCCTAACCCCCCTCCCCACCCCCAGCAGGCATGACGCTTCCAGGCTGGCTCTCTGGGTGGGCTTGCGCAAGTCCTCTTCGTGGCCTTCTGTTTCTGGGTGTTCACGCTCTTTAGCTGAGGTGAGGAAGCTTGCCTGTGGGTTCTGGATCCGTTGCACGTGGGAGGGCGTAGGGAGAGGCACGGTGGGGGGTCTGACTGCACAGCATGAGGCCTGGCTGCAAACACCCGTCTTCCGGGTGTTCGCGTCTCCAGGGGCTTCCATGAAGTGCCGCCCCAATGATGAGATGCTTCTGGGGGGCGAGCTGGGCAGCTCCTTCTGGCCTGCCGTGAGTGACCAAGTGAGGAAGAGCAGAGGTGGCCAAAGGCAGCTGCTGCCACCACCGCCTTTGACGGGCCTGCAGCCCTCTGGGAGTTTCCCCCGCCAGTGAGCCCCTTTGGAATCGTCCTTTGCATGTCCTTCATGGACAGCTGGGCTCCCTCCCTCACGCACAGACCCCCCATCCCTTTCAGCGGGGCAAAACCCTGCTCTTGCTTGGGACACGAGCCCAAGTGTGCATTCTGTTTTCTCAAGCAGGGGTCTTCATGCTTATGTACTTGGTTTTATCGTCCACGTTTCTCACTGAGACTCAAGGAGGAGTTGAAACTCGCCTCTCTGTTCTGGCCCTCAGCCCTGCTGAGCATGGGCTGATCTCAGACTACCCCTTGTGTGATAGGCCATCGGGGGGGGGGTCCTCCTCCGCCCTGTAGTCTGGACACCACGAGCCTTTTTGTCCTCCTGGAAGTGTGACCTTTTGTGACGTCTGAGGCCATCTGAGAGCCAGCTTGGTGTCGTGGTTAAGTGTGCGGATTCTAATCTGGGAGAACCGGGTTTGATTCCCCTCTCCTCCACTTGCATCTGCTGATGTGACCTTGGGCAAGCCATAGTTCTGATAACAGCTGTCCTTGAAAAAGAGCAGTTTCTGCCAGAGCTCTCTCAGCCCCACCCACCTCACAGGGTGTCTGTTGTGGGGAGGGGAAGGAGTCTGTAAGCTGCTCTGAGACTCCAAGTGAAGGGCGGGGTATAAATCCAATCTCCTCCTCTCCTCCTCTCCTCCTCCTCCTCCATCTGTTGGGAGGGGAAAAGGGTTCTGGAGATAAGCTACAGGTTTATTAGATCCTAGGCTTAAGAGGTGGTATTCTGCCTTGTTATGAACATGGGGCCATCTATGGTAGCCCTTGCTCTCGCTGAAAGTGTCACAGTTTGAGGGGGATGCAGCATTCATCTTCTCACTTAATGGAAGGAATGGAGCAACAGATGTGGGGTTTGGGATCAAAAGCCAAGAAGCATTCCAGAAAAGCGTGTTCAACTTGGGGGGGGGGAGGGGGGAAGGCTGCACTCCAGTCTACGTGATGCCTTGAGACCTTCCTCCCGGGCTTTTCTCCTCCAGTGAATCAAGCCCTCCTGGCCTCACCTCCCACCCCCACCCCCACCCCCTGGTCCATGTGTACTTTGTGTCTCTGAAGCTTCCGTGTCATAGAGTGTCATTTCCTGTCCTGTGCACCTTCCTCTTCCACTCCTCCTCCTCCTCCTCCTCTCCACCCACTCCCTTTGATTGACTCTCCATCTTCATCCGGCAGGCAGCGTCTGGCGCTTCGTCCGGGCCAGTGCATCTTACACCCCCTATTTGCCTCCTATCTGCGACCCCAAGGACAGTCACTTGCTTGTGGATGGCTGCTATGTTAACAATGTCCCAGGTCAGCATTGCGTTCGCCCCACTTCCTCCGCTGGTGGACACACACACACGGGGGGACGCTCCCGGCTCGGTGGAGGGGGGGGAGGGTGGTCATGCCGCTGTCTGGGATGCCGCCGCCTCCTCCTCCTCCTCCTTCCGAGCCGCTATCATCCTTCCGTTGCGAGGGGGACTGGGCAGGGACAGGCTTGGGAGGGAGAGCCTGACCCTGGCCCCACGAGCCCACTTTGTCCGGGCGGGTAATTCTGCCGGGCGCAGGACGCTGGCCCACCACGGGGGGCATATGCAGAGCATCACAGAGGAGTCGGCGGCACAGGGGCCCTGCAGGCCATCTGGTCCGACCCCCTGCTCCGTGCAGGATCCGCCGAGAGCCTCCCTGACCACCAGAAGTGTTAGTCCGGCCGCTGCTTCAAGACTGCCGGCCGGGGGTGGGGGGTGGGTGGGAGCTCACCATCATCACCACCACCCAGGCGGGGCGTTTTGTGAGGCCATCTGGTCGCTCCTGTGGAGCTGGAGGCGATTGGCCCGGAGCCTGTAAGGCGATTCTGCGTCACGTTGCTCGACTGCTCTGCGAAGCGCCTGGCAGGATTCCCTTGCCCCCCCCCCCCCAAGGCAAGTGGGCCGAGGCTGTGTTGCGCCCCTCCGCAGGGCTCGTTGCTCCTCTGGGTTCCTCTCTGCTCTTCACATTGCCTTTGTTCCCACACGGTTAGGCTCGCTGTGGCGGTACGTGCGAGCTAGCATGACCCTTTCCGGGTACCTACCGCCACTCTGCGACCCCAAGGACGGCAATTTACTGATGGACGGCGGCTACATCAACAACCTCCCAGGCAAGTACTGGCAACAGCAGGGCAGTCCTCTGCGGCTGGGAGAGAGAGAGAATGGCTTCCCAACCGGCCTTGGCCTTGGCCTGTCCCCTGCGGCTTCTGACCTAGAACTCTCCAGTCTTCCTCAGTAGGTAGCAGCCTAGAGAGACTCAAGAGGGGGAGGGTTTGGGGAACGAATTCAGCCCTTTGGCTGATGGAAATCAACCAGGGGAAAATGGCTTCATGGCTTTGAGCTTGTTGTGGTAGCTTCCAAGACTGATGGTCCTCTGCCGTCTGAGGTACTTGAGGGGGCTGACCTTCCCCCTGCTTCCTTCCTTCCTCCGCCTGCCTCACGCACAAAACAGACACACCCCCGGGCTTCCACACACACACGTCACCACCACGGCCTCTTATGCTCTGCTGGAGCATGAAGCTCTGATTCCGCTGCCCACTGCGATCCATTCACCCGGCAGTCAGGCAGGCAGGCAGGCAGGCGGGAACTGAGTTTCCCAGCTTCATACCTGGATGTGGGAGAAATTGCCGGAACCTTCCAGAGCCCTTTGACTCCTCCTCCCTGAGCTCCCTCTTCTGCAGGGTTTGTTTCCCACAGGCATTCTTTCAGTCATGTCGAATCTGTGCTCCTGTCTTTTCAAAGGGTGACCTGCTAGTTATGTGGGCCCCGCTGGTTTGACTCACATTCTGCTTGCCAGCAGGGAGCCAGTTTTTCACTGAGCAGTTTGGCTCTGTTATGCCATGTGAAGTCTTCATGGACAGAAACATCTGCTTCCCAGTCTACTGTGCCACCAGTGTTACCTCAGCCTTCTCTTGCCTGGAACATCCTTTTGATGGAAAGATGATTAGTTAAATATTCTAATAATAATATTGCTTCACTACTGTTTGTTTGGCCCTCAGAGCAACTAGTTGGCCACTGTGTGAAATAGAATGCTGGACTAATTGGACCATTGGTCTGATCCAGCTGGCAATATTGCTGCTCAGGTGCCGAGGCTGGCTTATGTCTTATATGCTAACATTCCTAGACGTTGACAGTGGCTTGGGGCTCAACATACTTAGAGGTCACCACTGAACTTCCACTGTCCTTGGAGACCAGGAAGAGTCCTTGCCACCTAAGTACTTCAGGCATTATGAAGCTCTCATCAAATGCTTCGTTCTGAATCTCAAAATTGGAGGCACACCAACCCCTTCTGAAAGTCACCACCGTTGTGTACTGAACTGACAGCAGGTCATCTGTTGCCCTCTCCCTGGGGCAGTCTTCCTGGAAGAGACCAAAACTGTTCAGCTGAAACTCTCCACAAGCCCGTCCTCCTCCTGGGGGCTTAGGCGTATGTGCCAGGCCCATTAACCAGGCTGCCCAATTCTGGCTCTCCATCCACCTCCAGACTCAGCATGGCAGTGTGTTCCTCCTCCTTGAAAGGAAGGCAGCAGCCCCACTTGGCGCTGCCAGGCAGGGAGAGGTGACATGTGAGTATTTTGCAGTGGAAACTGAGCTTGAGCACAGCCCTCTCAGTCCAGAGCCTTAATGGCCTGCGGTGCATATGCAGGTGTCATCACCATGTACGGAACCAACTTACTCCTCGAGCATGGCTCTCCTTTATTATTTCACTGTTGCTTATATTGCTTCTTGCTTTACACCAAAAGAGTCATTCTGCACCCAGATCTCTGCTTTCTCCACAAAGCTGTCTCCTTATTTCATCTCCTGTAGATGTTCCTTCCACAACTTAAAGATAGGGCTGATGGTTGTCATGTGGGCACCTGTATTCCTTCTAGGTAAGACTTCTGTAGTGACAGTAGCATGTTGCTCTGTTATAGCAGCCCTCAAAAGTGCAAGTCTTCCACCTCAAAGGCTCTCAGAGTGGGCAGTCAGTGGCATCAGCTTGCGATACTAAACAGCCGGTACACAGATTTGTTGGGAGAGCAGCGGTCACTTGCTCAGCGTGTCCAAAAGGGAGGGCATCCCCCGAGAAAGTCCCCGCAGTGCTCACAAGAGCTGGGCTGTGGCTTGTGCCTTTGCCCAACCCGCTGCTACTTTTTAGCCCTTTTCTCCTGAGGGTGTGTCAGCCCCTGTCTCCAGGTAAGCAAGCCTGCTGGTCTCCTGTATGTGGACTATGCAGAGACAAGGAACAAAAACAGGCTGTTTACTTTTAACTGTTACGTAGTAGTCAGGGTAACCACACAGCTCTCCCAACGTCTGTCTTGCAGCTGGCCTCTCTCACGGGAAGAACGTGTGGTGTCGCTCCAGAGGAGCTGCGGGGGGGCTCCTCGTCACACCCTCCAGGGCAGGCCTGGGAGGCTCAGTTTCCCCAGAGTGGCTCATGCACTGGCACAGAAGCCCACGGGGGAGAGTGTGCAGAAGGCCACTTGTTTGTGTGCGGTGGTCGTCCTGGGGGCCTGAGCTTGTATCCTGTGCACTTTCAACCAACACAGGGAACACACCTGCCTATAGTTTACTTTTTCTGCAGGTCTCTGGCTTGTTCCAGACACTCTGCACTGAAAGTGGCACTGGAGGCAAAGGCAGGGCAGGCGCCTGTGTGGTTTGCCCAGTGAGCGGGCCCACTCTCGGTCCACGCCCCGCCCCCGTGGCCAAAGGACTCGTTACCAAGGGTGGCTGGGGGTGGGGGTCTTGTTCACCCTATAACAGTTGGCAGCATGTTTACAACAGCACAGGGGTTGGATTGAGGAGAAAGAGAAATTGGCTGTTTGTTGTTTCTTTCAAATATTTATATCCCACAATTCTGAAGGTGGCTTAAGTACATCAAGCTAAAACTGCCACTCTTGCCAGAGCCAGTTCCAGGCTTTGGGAGCCCTGAGCTGACCCCTACGTGGCCTCCCCCCACCTACCTGCCTGTGCCCCCTTGTCCTCTGGCGAGCCCTCCCACCGCCCGTGCTCTCCGTTGCCTGCACCCCTGGCAGTCGCGTTCCCGGCCAGCACTGGCTGCCCGTGAGTGCAGCTGAGAGTGCTGCCGCCGTGGCCCCCGGGAGTGCCGCCCGCACGCCCTCCTTCAGTGACGCTGAGCGTTTGGGGGCACAGGTACAGACAGGTGCGTGGTAGTGGGCCTGCCGGAAATCCTGGGGCCTGGGAGGCTGCCTCACCTCAAGGTGTGATGACGCTGGGCCTGACCCTCCTCACAGCGCGTGTCACCACCTCCTGCCAAGTAGAGACAGGCACTAGTTCACCAAAGGTACGTTGAAATAGCTCCGCTCTGTCAGAACCCACAGCCAACAACGCAGTACACGCATTCAGGAATGGTTATACTTTTATTGCAGAGCTATAGATGCAGTAACAAAGGCACTGTTAAGAATGGCGGCGGCCCCATGGGCATAATAGGATATAGGGTATTCGTATGCACACACCCCCTCAGTACTGGCCAATTAGGCAGCCTCCCGCCCGCAAGCTAAGACTTAGAGACCGTTAGGTAGCTGCAGCTGAGAACGAACACTCTCCCACGGCACCTAGGGAAATCCCAGACACTAAAACACCCTCCTGCACATCTGTATAGATAAGCGTTTTGGCGCACAGCAGAAAAAGCACAGAAAGGAATGCAATAGCAGTTAACCTGAAAGGAAAGCAATAGCAATTAACCAGACACAGACCAACCTCCCCAACTTTCATGGCAGCATAGCTGACAATTCCTCACCATATTCAGCGGGCTGTTCCAATGTGTCGGCACTGGCCGTGGATAAGCAGGGACCTCCCAAAGTGGGGCACCCGACAGCCTTAGTTGGCGCACAGAATTATATCAGGAAAGGCAGATACGTGGGTCCCAGGATGTGAAGGGCATTAAATATAACCCACACAATGAATTGTCCCCAGAAGCAAACACATGACTGGTGAAGCTGCCAAAGCGCAAGCTTAATAAAATCCTATCAGTGCAAACTGGTAAAGCGAGTGGCAGAATTCAGTCCTAACTGAAGTTTCCAAACCACTTTCAGGGGCGGCCCCAGGTCTAACTCATCGCAGCCTTGTAGGCGGAGGCGGATTTTGATCTGCCCAGGACGTCTCACCCCGGAGTCAGACTCTCTCTTTATACTTTGCCAGGCACCCAGTGAGCAAGTCTGCAGCCCCCCCCCCCCGCATGCCAGCTGCCCTCCAAAGACGGGGGGGAGGGGGCTGCAGCCTCCAGGTCCGCTCTGGCATTTGCTGGGCGGCAGCTGGGGTCTCCGCAGCCTCTGGCCTATCCCAGGTGGTTCTGGGCCCCGGCTGAAGCCAGAGGTGGGCGTCTCTCTGGATTCAGTCCCACTCCAGTAGATCCAGGCGTGCCTGTTCCTTGGGTACGTGAATGCTGTCGCAGTGAATTCTGCCGCCACTGGTCCATCCAAGCATTGGCGGCTCAGACTGGCAGTGGTTCTCCAGGGACTCAGGCAACAGAGGTCTTCCACACCATTTGTGACCTGATCGTTAACTGGAGGTGCTGCCGGGGATCGAACTTGGGACTTTCTGCATGCCAAGCAGAGGCTCTGCAGAGCCACAGTCCCCTCCCCTCTCCCAGCTGAGTTCCGAAAAAGCTCTGCAGGTTTCAAACAGAAGGCAGCCTGGCTTAGAACCCTGATCTTCTGCCCATCTCTGCAGAGCAGAGCAAAAAGACAAACGATATGTGGACAAACACGAGCCTTTTAAAAGAAAAGCCGCCCGCCCGGCTCAGGGGTGGTTCAGCGCAGGAGCCGGCCCCTGGCAGTGCTGGCGGCAGAAGTGCTGGTGAAGAAGTCTCTCTCCGGAGCTCCCGATGTCACTCCTCGATGTGATCGTGCGCCCGCTCTTGAAAGATCTGCCAGTGGGTACATTTTGGAGGCAGGACAGACTGAAGGCTTGACCTTAAACAAAACTGGTTGGTGACTGTCACGATAGAGTGGAGTGAGTTCCTGTGGCCAACTGTTCCAGCACGGACTGGAGTAAAGAATTAAAATGATCAAATCTCTCGACACAGCGGCTTGATCTGCGTCTGGCACAGAAGCCCTGCCACGGGCGCCTGCTCCTACCTGGACACGTCCATGTTCCGGTGGACCAGGCATGCTCTTTTCACCGATTCCATCCCTCACGCTCCAGGCAGCAAATGTGCCCCCCCCCCCGCCGGCCACCCTGGAGGCCCTCAAAAGGGGCGGTGGCGGCGGCGGCTGGTGCCAGGGGAGCTCGGGGAAAGGCCCCTGATGGGCCCTTTCCACACACGCTGGCTCATGCGCGGAAAAGGGGACTTCCCTTCCCTTTCGTTCTTCTTGAGCGTTGGGTCTCAAAGTGGCCTCTGTCACTACCACCCACTGAAATCTCACTTCACAAAAGCACGGTGCAAACAGCAGGAAGGGGGGGGCACTCACCCCCCCTCCTCCTCCTCCCCCCACCTGCAGCCCACTTGCAGGCCACCAGAGGCACATCGCAAAGGCTTTGCCTGAAAGAGCCTCCGAGATCTTCAGCTCATCGGCTGGCATTGCTTGCTGCCTGTCCAGGAGGGAAATGGCTTTGTCAACCCCCAGTATGTCTTTAGGTTCTTCGGGGGTGGCAAGCAAGAGGAAGCCAATCTCAACCCTTCCTGAGGTCTCAGGAGCCTGGCCTGATACCACAAGGGCCTCCTGGGCCAGGAATCGTCTCCCAAGTATCCTGGGAAGCTGGAGAGCCTGCTGTGGTGGACTCTAACCTGGGAGGGCCGGGTTTGATTCCCCACTCCTCCTCCACGTGCAGCCGGCTTGGTGACCTTGGGTCAGTCACTAGTTCTCTCCAGAGCAGTTTTCTCAGAGCGCTCTCAGCCCCGCCTACCTCATAGGATACCTGTTGTAGGGAGAGGGAGGGAAGGAGGTTGGAAGCCCCTCTGAGACCCCGAGTGAAGGTCAATGGGTATGGCTCCAAACCTCCTCCTTCCTTCTTAGTCCTGTCATCCGACTATAGCTCTCAGGTTTCCTTTCTAGGAGGAGGCCCTCTTGTTAATCTGACGCCGACGCCGCTGCTGCTGCTGCCCTGGCCCTCTTCCCTCTTGGCCCAGCCTCTGCCCATGGCGAGGAAGAGGGGTGCTCTGTCCTCAGGGTCCTCCTGTGCAGAGAAACACCTCTATCAAGAGGGCGAGGCATGGTGGGGAGGAGAGCAGCCGTTTCAGCAGCTGCCGGATGTTGCCGTGTGTTCTTTTACTCATTCCTCACCAATAACGTCCGTGTTCAGTTTATTTAACAGCATTTCTTCCCTATCTGTCCCAATTTTTCTGGGCAGTTTACAGTGTAGAAAGCTGTAAAATATGCAGCCATATTAAAACCGCTGTAATACTTACGAGACAGAATCTTGCCCTTAAAATGCCCAACTCCCGGCCACCCACAAGGGTTCTAATGGAGGTTCCATGTCTGGCCTCAGCAGCTGACAAAGGCCCTTTGGAATACAAGAGTCTTTCCAGCCTCCTTCCTCAGAACCTGCACAGGAAGGACTTCTTGCACATCTTCCAGCAAATTATTCCCACATGAAAGAGGGGTAAGCCTGAATGCCACCTCCTAGCAGGGGCTCCACAGACTGCCTGTCCTCTTGTGGTGGGGGGAGGGGTGCACGTGCCTCCCCATGGACAGCTGTCCTTCCTCCTCTGCCCTTTAAGTGGCTAAGATTTGGCTCTTGGCACGCTCGGGCCCCTTCCTTCCTTCCTTCCTTCCTTCCTTCCTCTGTGTTAAGCCTCCTCCAGCCTTTGTCCATGTGGCTTGCCTTCCAGTCCGCTTCACCGGCCCCTGTAGCCCTCGTGTGGATCTTTTCTGATCTCTCCACACCCAGCCCCCCTCGGGTGGTGGTGGTCCAGCAGCAGCCTCCGTCCCAGGGCCTGTGCAGGGCAGGGAGGGGCTGGTGGGACTTCCAGAGGACTGCCTGATGCTCCTGTCACTGCAGCCTTGCCTTCCTACCTGGCTTGGTCCTATGGTTAATTCTCTGCTTGGCTTCTTATCGGTCACAATGGGGATTTTGTGCATGATTTCTTGCCTTTTGTAGCCCATGTTTATCCCAGTGGGGACTCAGAGAAGCTTACAACAGTGCTCTCCCCACCTCCCCTTTATACTCACAGCAGCCACCCTGTGAGGTCAGTTCGGCTGGGGCGAGGCAGAAAGCGGTAGTTGCCGGGAACAGGCTGTCCTTGTCTTGTCGTCTTCAGAAGGTCCCAGTGAGCCCCCCAGCGAGCTTCCGTGGCGGAGCAGGACTAGAACGTGTGCCTCCTGGGGATGCCCGCCCCGCACTCTAGCCCCTGCGCCAGGCCCTGCCTGCCCAGTGTGAGGGTTGCCTCCCCAGCCATAAGAGGCGAGAAAGGGCGGTGGCTCCCCAGGTCTGGAGGCCTCGGCCAGCACCCACGGCGGCAGTCCCATGGGCTGGAGCCACCAGCCAACTTAACTGGTTGTTTAAAAATCTCCACCCCACCTTATTCAGAGTGCCCCGTAGCTCACAGTCAGTCATAGATGTAACAGTGAAATGACAATCTGAAATGAAATGAGCTCTGCTGCCCAGACATGTCGGGGGTCTTTGCCAGAGAGACCTGCTCCCGGTGAGAAGAGGGCAGAGCCTGTCAGGTGGACCCAGCTTGTCCCGTGGGCTCATGGGCAGAGTGCAGAGACAGCCCCCTCGGTCTGTGAAGAGGAGGGCGCATGCCTGTGCAGACATCTCTGGGGTGGGATTTCAGCTGAGTAGGAGAAGCGAAGCACAGAGGATTCCCCCTTCTGTTACTGAGGATGTGGAGGAGGAGGAGGATGCTTAGGGTTGCCAGCAGGCACGGAGGTTTGGCTTGAAGAGCATTTCATGGGATCGAGATAAATAACCAGACATTTCTTCTTTGGGCAGTTGGCAACCCTAAGCCCTCCCCCTGCCCAGTGTTGTTCTGTATGTGTTGTCAGGTATGCTCCATGGCTGGCCGTCCACCCACCCACCCGGAAATTCCCATTCCTTTTGGCCCTCCTGAGTCTTCTCTCTCCCCCCACGTAGCTGACATTGCGCGCAACATGGGTGCCAAGACGGTCATTGCCATCGACGTGGGCAGCCAGGATGAGACCGACCTCTGTAACTACGGGGACAGCCTCTCGGGCTGGTGGTTGCTCTGGAAACGCCTCAACCCTTGGGCAGAGAAAGTGAAGGTAAGACCCTCCCGGCTGCCGCCCCACGGCCTGCTGGCCAAGCGGAGTCTCCCACCTCAGCTGCCTTCCTGCTATCGACTGAAGAGTGGTCTTTCAGTGTTCTTGTAGCATCTCTTGTGGTCATACTCTCGGTCAGAATCCCTGGTGTGAAGAGGGGCAGAGCGGCTGTTCAGGACTTCTGGGCCCACGGCCATCCATCAGGTCCACCCCCCAGCCTGCAAGACACGGCCCTCTCTAGCAGCAGCAGCACCACCACCACCACAGGTTTTGCAGGCAGGTCGCTTCCTTGCTTGCCTGCTGGCCCAGCTGGATGGAGTCTACCTGTTGCTGCACAACCAGCCCATCGCCAGGCAGACTCAGCTGTGAGCTGTGTTCCCTCTAAGCTGAGTTAGTGTGACCTAGCTCAGTTTCTTAGCCTCCGGCTCACACATTTTTGTCTCGGCTCAGGAAGGATGGGCTCCGGAACAAACTAATTTAAGCAGTAGCCCAATCGCTCGCTCGCAACTTTAATGCCAGTAGCTCACAAAGTAGAATTTTTGCTCCCAGGACTCCATAGCTTAGAGGGAGCAGAGAGGCAGGAGCCGGCCATGCCTGTGCTCCCTCCTGAGCTTTGGCACCCCCCCCCCCCCACCGCCACCCCCCCCCACCGCACTGGGAAACCTTTGCACACGTGTAGAGTGGATAACAGTAGCAGGGGTGGCGGTGGGGCGGGGGATCTGGGCCTTGGTGCCCTAGTTAAAACTAGGCCCCTGTGACAAGATGTTTTACTCCCACTTCCAGACAGAGAATCTGGACTGATTTCTTCTGTCAGAATTGATCTATTGGAACATTTAGCCTCAGGTGTCTCCAGGATCTACCTGACAAAAGAGGTTTGCAACCTTTATATCTTCGTCGTGGTCTCTGTGTAGTCCAAAACATGGGTTGGGCTCCTGCGCATGATCTCGACCGGAGAAACTTCTAGAGCTTTGCCTCAGAAACCTTTTGGCGGGCTCTTCTCCCGCCCTGGGGAGCAGGCACGTACTGTGCATGCCTGGAGCGGGGGAGAGAGCCGCCTCCCACTCAGCTGAGTATATTTGTTCGTCTACCTTTTTTCTTCACTTTCTTTCTTTCTCTCTCCCCCCCCCCCATTTGGTGGGTGGGGAGGAGAGTGTATGGGCAAAACTAAGTTTTTAAAAGTGTGTCGTCGTTGCCCAGCTAAGATACCTTCGAACGACGGTCATGATTTTTGCCTTCTTTGTCTGGGGGAATCCCATAGTGTTGATAGCTGCGTCCATTGCGCTAGTTTTACCAGGCAAGCTAGACGTAATAGGGAGGCTCGGCTTAGGGCTGTGCTTTTAGAGGCAGCTTTGCGCCCTACGATGTCTTCGGCTGCTTCTCATTCTTCTGTCCCTCAAAGATCGGATGGGGCTCCGAAGGCACCAAAGCTTAAAACTAAACGGCCTGAGGATAAGGCTCCGTCGAAATCGAAAGTCAAGCCCTCGACATCGGCTTCGACTTTGGCTGTCGACCCGGTCGTCATCACCGGTTTAACAACATCGACTCTTGCTGTTGCTGTTGTGTCCCACAAGTCCGCTTTGTGGCCTCTGACACCACCACCTACGCTCTCTTCAGTGTCTGGCCTTATTCCGCTGGGTCAGTCCATGAGATCGCCTCCCAACTTGTCGTCTCACCGGGACTCTTGATCTCCGTCTCCACACTCCTGTACCCCGATCCACGATTTGGAGGGCAGGGAGCGTTCTGTCGGTTGCCGTTCTCGCTCTCGCTACGATCGAAAGCGTTTCATTCGTCGTCCGTTGCCTTCCCCCTTGGGATTGCCTTCTAACGACCAATACTGGTCTCCTGATGAACGAGATCGGCCTGCGTATTATCCTTATTACTATTTGAGGTCTCCTACTCCTCAGCGGCACCACTATGATCAGCTATGTCACTCTGAACGTACTGAGCATCAACACATTCCAGATTATGCCAGACGTTCTTGATTTGTGACTTCGACCCGCTCTGCGGCTCCTCACCAGCCTCCTGAGCTCTCGAGACCTAGGGATGCCCTGAAGTGTTCTCCCTCAGAACCTCGGCTTCATCCCCCTGTTGATTACCAGATACCGGCTGATCTCACTAAATCGCTGAGATCATCCTCTCCCATGTCGCTCTCCAACAACTTGGACTTGGGAGACCTAGAGCTCGATGTTCCGCACATCGACGATGAGCCTCGGCGCTCGGGTTCTATTTCCCCCACTGAGGGCCCGAAAGCTTATTTGGAACTGGTGACTAGGATGGCCTCTGTGCTTCAAGTCCAGGGTTCCACTGAGTCCCTGGCTGTGGCCGATGTTGTTCACAAGCTGGTTCAGGCCAACCTCCCGCCTTCTATGGTCCTGCCTCTGCTGCCGGTCCACCTTTCTGCCCTTAAAGAGTCGTGGGCCCATCCGGCTTCGATTCCCCCAGTCTCCAGACGATACGAAGCTCTCTATAAAGTCCAAGAGAACTTGGGGAAGTTTCTCTTCAGTCAGCCTCCGCTGAATTCGATGGTGGTACATTCTTCCTCGAAATCGAAGCAATTTGCCCGCCACTCAGAGCCTCCCGATCACGAGGGCTGCAAGGTCGATGCTATCACAAAGAAGATGTATTCCTTCACCTCTATGAATCTTCGTATTGAGACCTTCCTGTCATACCTGTCGGGTTATGCTTTTAATGTGGCTAACGCAGTACGTCCTGTCTTGGAGTTTGTTCCGGAGGAACACCGTCCCACATTGTCAGGGGCTTTGTCAGAAATTTGTATGATTTTAAAACAGCAGATCAATTCAGTCCGGCATGCTGTCACTTGCTCCTCAAAGGTCCTTGTCTCCTCCGTCGTCATGCTTGGCTAAGAGGTACCTCTTTACAACCCGATGTGAAATTTCGGATTGAGAACCTCCCATTCAATGGCAAAGGTTTCTTCCACTCCACCACTGATGAGGCCTTGAAAGCCATTGATGATAGTCGGAAGCAGGCTCGGAACCTGGGTGTCTCAACCTCGACGCCTTGACATCCATACCGTTCTTGGAAGCCGTATTATGCAAGGCGCCGGCCGTCTCCCACGCCCACTTCCCAATGGAGAAAGAGGCCCTATGACTCCCGTCACTCGAATAGGGTGCGCCAACAGGCCCCTAAAAAAAACCAGCAGCCCAAGCAGTCAGTTTGACCACTTCGATTGCCCGCCACCACCTCTGTCGTACACCCCTCCCATCTGGACCCAACTCTTCCCCTTTCTGCCAATGTAGGAAGGAATTTCCACTGATTCCTGGGTCCTTACCATCCTACGGGTCGGGTACGCCATAGAGTTCGTTTCGCCTCCCAACCTACCTCACTATGTCATTACACACACCCCGGATCCTCTCCTCCATTTCGAGATTTCTGCACTTCTGGCCAAGGGCGCCATCGAGGTTGTCCTGGAGGCGCAACGAACCCTAGGCTTCTGCTCCAGGACACGTGTTTTCACATCACTATCTGTCCCCAACATCTAAAGTTCCTGCGTTTCGCTGTCGGCAATGCACACTACCAACACTCAAAGGGAGCGGTGGCGCAGGCTGTTAATGCAGCCTGCCTTAACATCTGGCCGAACATCTGGCCGAGCCCCACCGTGGCCGGAGTGAGCTCCCGGCCTGCGTCCCAGCTCCCGCCCACCCAGCGGTTCAAAAGCCTGTTAAAGGGTGAGTAGATGAATGGGAACCTACCCTTAGTATGGTAGGGGCACCCCCCTCGTCCGAGGAGTGTGGTGTGCGGCGGCGGCAGCAGCGAAGGAACAACAACAATGGCGGCGACAGCGGTGGTGACGGCGGATCCTGGCGGCAGAGACGAGGCGGCGCGGTGGAACATCGAGAGCCAGTGGAGCAATCCCTGGTGGCCTGCGGAATTCCAACAGAAAGCGGCCAGCGCGAGCAGCAGAAGGTGCGGATGACGTCATCTCCCGGCACGGCGGAGCCTATTGGACGGAGCCAAGGCCGGGAGAAACGAACTCACACACCGAGACGGCTGCCTCGCTGGAGAAGAACTGCGCCGGAGAGAGGAGTGTCCTGCCGCCCGAAGGAGCCAAGGAAGCCGAAGCCGGAGACCAGAAGGAAGAGCCACCGGGGTGCTAGGTAGGCTGACCCAGCCCCTGAGAATGTGCCCATAGTTAGGGATCCATAAAAGTGATTAGCACTACAAAGTTGTAAACCGCCCAGAGACCCCCATTGGGGGGGTTAGGGCGGTATATAAATCGAAGGTTAAATTAAATAAATAAATAAATAAAATACTGGGTCCTCCCGTTCGGATTCTACACTGCCCCATGGCTTTTTACCAAGCTGATGGCTGTGGTGGCTGCAGACCTCTATCATCGTGGGATTGCCCCTGTATCCCTATATCGACGACTGGCTTCTCGTGGCCGCCATGCAAGACCAGCTCCTCTAAGATGTCCAAACGACCCTGTCTCTCCTTCATGCCCTCGGGCTTTGTGTCAACCTACTCAAGTCATCTCTCCAACCTCTCCAGGTCCTTCAATTTCTGGGTGCCCAGCTCAATACCAACCTCAAGACCGCATTTCCCCCAAACTGAAGGGCCTCCAACATACTCTCATTGGTCTCGCAATTCCAGACCTCTCCCCAGCAGTCAGCTCGGTCCGTCATGAGTTCCTGGGGCACTTTCCGTCTACAGTCTTTGTTGTCTGTCATGCCAAGTTGAGGATGTGTCCCCTCCAACTGTGGCTTCTCCATGCCTTCGACCCTCTCCGCAGTCCGTGGCACAAAATCCTGTTGATCCCACCCTTTGTCATCGACTCCCTCACCTGGGGGTCTCATCCTCAGCACCTACTCTCCGGCATGCCCTTTTGGCATCCTCCTCCACAAGTGTCGATCTCCACCGACACACTCCCTCTCGGGTTGGGGAGCCCAGTGTGGAATCCTTTCAGAACAGGGGACCTGGTCTCGTCGCGAGGTCACCCTTCATATCAATGTCCTGGAGCTTTGTGCAGTTCATCTCGCTCTCCGCTC